CTCATTGCTGCTTGACTTGGCTTAAATGTGATCTCATTGCTGCTTGACTTGGCTTAAATGTGATCTCATTGCTGCTTGACTTGGCTTAAATGTGATCTCATTGCTGCTTGACTTGGCTTAAATGTGATCTCATTGCTGCTTGACTTGGCTTAAATGTGATCCGTTTGCTTTTTGCTTGGTTATTTTTTATAAAGTAGGAGCAAATAGAAATCTGGTGGAGGTGGAAAATTAAAGGCACGTAGACATTAGGAACTAAATAGTAAGCTGTGACATGTCGTCATCGGTGCAGGTATGTCTTGGGGACAGGTATAAATTAAAGTCACTCAGAATTAGGAACCTGAAGTAAGTAAGGACAAGTTATAATGAGCTTCAGGTACAAATTAGGGACAGATGGAAACAGGGGACAGTAAGAAATTAGGAGCAGGTAAAAAAATCAGCTGTAGGTAGAATCTAGGGACAGATGGAAATTAGGGAAAGGTAAAAAAAACAGCAGCTTGTAGAATTTAGTGACGGATAGAAATAAGGGACATGTAAAAATCAGCTGCAGGTAGAATCTAGGGACATATAGAAAATGGGGGACAGGTACAAATCAGCTGCAGGTAGAATCTAGGGACAGATAGAAAATGGGGACAGGTAAAACTCAGCTGCAGGTAGAATCTAGGGACAGATAGAAAATGGGGACAGGTAAAACTCAGCTGCAGGTAGAATCTAGGGACAGATAGAAAATGGGGACAGGTAAAACTCAGCTGCAGGTAGAATCTAGGGACAGATAGAAATCAGGAACAAGTTTGTTTTTTTTTAAATCGGCTGCAGGTTGAGATCAGAGACAGGGGTAGAGATGTTGTTTAAGAGACAAAAACAGTTTCCGAAGTGTTGATGCTGAAGAGCGCCAGGAAAGCCACCCTGTACCGTGTGCTCATCTTGTAGTACACGATGATATTGACGCTGGCGTTGACGGCCTCCAGGATGAACGAAATCGAGACGACGACGATGTTGACGTTGGCGTAGTACCCCGTGACTCGAAACTCGGGCTCCATCGCCATCGCCGAGAAGATGATGGCCGCCGGGGTGAAACTGACGATGAATATCGTGGATATCCCCACCACCATTTTTACCACCTTTTGCTCCTTTGTCGAGATGTTGGCGTTTTTATCCTTATCGGCCACGGACTGCTGGCGCCATTTTGTTTTCTCGTTGAGCTTGACGACTAGGATGACGGTGCTGATGACGACGGCGCCGAACGAACCGAGGGGAGAGAACACGCTGTTGATCGCGAAGGCGACTTCTTCCACCTCGTTTCGGTCCGGCGTGAAGATCAGACCAATGAGCGTGCGGTTCCGTTGCGGGAAATACACCCAGGCCAGACGGCTCGTGTAGTAGGCCGGGGCGACACTGGCGATCACGAAGAGCACGATGACGGCGATGCACATGACAACGCGCCTCCCCGTGATGATGGTCTTCACCTTGAGGGGCAGGGCTATGCACAGGCAGCGCTCTATCGTCACGAAGGCCGTGACCCAGCCGGTGATCCTCGCGAAGACGACGTGCGGCCAGCCCCCGGCCAGATACTGGACGTCCGTCGACACGAACGGGATGTCGGAGAAGCGAAAGGGCGGCACGAAGCAGACGGACACCCAGAGCAGAGCCACGAGAGACAGGAGGTCTGAGACGGCCAGGGAGAAGAAGCTAATGTTCACCGTGTCTTGGAAACCCTGCCTGACGAAGATGACGATGTTGATGACGTTGGCGACGATGCCGACAAAGGAGATGGGGCCGCATATAATTGCGAAGTTGACCAGGAAGAAAACTTCGGCCAGGTCGTCTTCGATTATTTTCGATCTATAATTAAGAACGGTTGCTTGAGCCTGGGTCGTGATGTTGACAACGAAACTGACGGCGTCCATGGTTACGCAATGATCAACGCATTATTTTAGTGTTTCCAAGTGGATAAATTTAAAGGACTTGTTAACAATATTGTTTAAAATGATCAATGAACTTAGATAACTGGAACCACGCAGTTGTTGGTGCTTTGCTTCCGATTGACTGAATGTCCGATCCTCAATGAAATTGTTCATGTTCATTGCGTCATCGGCCACGAGTCTCGATAAGAATACCAAAATGGCATAGAAAGTATAAAACCGGTACAATTGATGATATCCTGCTTAGTATCTGGCACAATTCATGAAGGCCTTCTTGGTTATTGTTACAATTGGTGATATCCTGCTTGAAGACCGGTACAAATGACGATAGCCTGTTTGGATATTGGTAGAAGTGATTTTAGCCTGCCTGGTTATTGGTACAATTGAATATAGTCTGCTTGGGTATTGGTACAATTGATGATAGCCTGCTTGAAGACCGGTACACTTGATAACAGCCTGATTGGTTATTGGTGCAATAGATGGTAGCCTGCTTGAAGACCGGTACAAGTGATAACGGCCTGATTGGTTATCGGTACAATTGATGATAGTCTGCTTCGTGGCTGGTACAATTGATGACAGCGTACTCAGCGGCTGGTACAATTCATGATGTCCTGTTCTGTGATGATCGAAATTAGTGTTAACACCATGAGTAGTTTACGAATCATTTCGAACACATATACTAGGATTTACACTCGGTGGCATAGGGTAAATGTGGCTGCACTGACATTTTTTTTTTTTAAGCTGACCTGATTTATAATGGAGGATCAACTTTTGAGGCCAACAGTAGTTTTAACCTGGAGCAGATGATTATAATATCAACAAAAAAAATGTTTATGTCCTCCATTTAAGTTTTCGTTTTAGAGACGTAACCAGGTTTCAGTAATTCTGAAATGTTTGTCTTTCTACTTGAGGTGTCAGAGATGAATTAATTATGTATAAGTTTTTGTATGGTTACTTTCTTAATTAATTGGTCAACTACTACAGGGTGAGTTCAGTGCCGTGCTGGGGGTCGCACTGGCAACCCAAACGTTCACTGAGTAAAGCAGCTGTCGGCGGTTTAAATAGAATCCTAAATCAAATATCGGAGGGTTCAGTAAATAAATTATAGCAATTTGCCTGGCCGTGTTTGAGGCTAATTGTTCGACACGAAGTTTCACGCGGTCCCGCGCTGTTTAAGTTCGTAAATATTTGAACACATGAATGTTTTTAATTGTCTGCTAATGGCAAGGGCAATCACTGTCTAGAAACACCTTGTTTGCCACGACAAAAAGTCTGACGCGCACGACAAAATAAAATTTTAAAAAAAATGACAAAGTTTTTTTTTGTACTCGTTGAGCATACCGCAGATTTAATTGTATGTCATTACACTTATTACTGTCATCATATTTGTTTAAATTGATGTTTATTGATATGTCGAGGGTATATTCTGCGATAACAATTATTGGTGTGATGAAATAAAAATTGTTTTGTGGTTAGATTCAAGCTCATGTGTCGAAGAGCGTTAATGTTAATGGGCCACTTACGTGGGCGAGAGTGTCATTTTATCAAAACGTCAATGCCGATTAAATCAAATGACGAGCTCTGACACGCACACCATCAAACACGGAGAATGTAGTGAAATCATTCCTGCAAGAAATCATGCCTATCATGGATCGATACTATTCAGAGAAGTCGATTGCCCTTTTCGAGTGATTAGCGCGTCTCAACGAAAAGCAAAGTATTTCCGAGACGAATACACAGTAATGTCTGAGATGAATACACAGTATGTCTGAGACGAATACACAGTATGTCTGAGACGAATACACAGTATGTCTGAGATGAATACACAGTATGTCTGAGACCAATATAAGTATTCAGTTTAGCCTACAATAGAACAATTTGCCCAAGCTTGTCCTGTTTCTTTCTTCTGTCACCAATTTTTTTTTTTTTTGATGTCTTACTCTTTTTAAATATGATCGTTTTAAGTTTCTCATTTTTCAAATGCTTTTTTTAGCCTTGCTTTTTTTAAAAAATTTAAAATGTACTTTTAGACTCAATCAATTTTAAAGTATTCTTTTGAACTTACTATTTTCTAAATGCTCATCTAGACTTAATCGGTTAAAAATGTCTTATATAAACTTATTTAAAAATAAGTCGCTTAAAATCGCTTTAAACTGCTCTTTTAGAATGTATCGTTTAACAACCTCTTTTCAACTTATTTAAAAATAGATCGCTTAAACTTGCACATTTTGAAACGCTCAACATAAAAAATGTGGGGTGGGGATGGGTGCGTTAGACAAAATATTTGGTTAAAAAGGTAGCCGCTAATATTTGTTGTCAGTTATGCACTAGGAGAACATGTAACATATTGTAAGTTGCATCCAAAAATATTGAATCTTAAGGCCGCCATTTTCAAATTCAGTCTTCCTGTCAGCGCATCTTTTTTTTTATTTTAACCATATTTTTAACTTTTTTTTTTTTTTTAAAGTGTGTGGGGGGGGGTGGGGTGTTGTTAGGATTAAACCTTCTTTTAATGCTCATGTGTTCGTCCTTCACATGCCAAGATGACCAAAAGGACCAAGGCTTCGACATGAGTAGTGGCGTTGGGTTTTATTTTGTTTAAAGCGATGGAGAGTTGCTCAGTTCGTCAGCCTCGCCCTCTCGTCTTCGCCTTTTTTGATCCAATAGCAAGACTTTCAATTGTTTTTCGTGCCTCTCTGTGCTCTTTCTGCGTATCACGTTGGAGATGTTATTATGTCAGTGTCTTGACGGGAATCCATCTCCGGGTTTGATTTCAGAGTTGCCTCCTCTTAGATGAGTTGCCTTCTAAGGTTAGTGAGCACTCCTCCTCCCCACGGTGTGCTGGTGATATTTTTGGCTAGTCTCGGCTTATGCTGGGGATTGAACCCTAGTCCACAAGCTTGGGGTTGACTCAGTTTGGACTGGGGACCCCTGCCTCTTATAGGCTGGTCAAGCCTATGACACAAGGGGAAATTCGGAGCCCTGCCTCCTATACTCTTGTCATGTCCATGACACATGTCGACTGGGGAGCCCTGCCTCCTATACTCTTGTCGTGTCCATGACACATGCCGACTGGGGAGCCCTGCCTCCTATACTCTTGTCGTGTCCATGACACATGCCGACTGGGGAGCCCTGCCTCCTATACTCTTGTCGTGTCCATGACACATGCCGACTGGGGAGCCCTGCCTCCTATACTCTTGTCGTGTCCATGACACATGCCGACTGGGGAGCCCTGCCTCCTATACTCTTGTCGTGTCCATGACACATGCCCACTGGGGAGCCCTGCCTCCTATACTCTTGTCATGTCCATGACACATGCCCACTGGGGAGCCCTGCCTCCTATACTCTTGTCATGTCCATGACACATGTCGACTGGGGAGCTCTGCCTCCTATACTCTTGTCGTGTCCATGACACATGCCGACTGGGGAGCCCTGCCTCCTATACTCTTGTCATGTCCATGACACATGCCGACTGGGGAGCCCTGCCTCCTATACTCTTGTCATGTCCATGACACATGCCGACTGGGGAGCTCTGCCTCCTATACTCTTGTCATGTCCATGACACATGTCGACTGGGGAGCCCTGCCTCCTATACTCTTGTCGTGTCCATGACACATGCCGACTGGGGAGCCCTGCCTCCTATACTCTTGTCGTGTCCATGACACATGCCGACTGGGGAGCCCTGCCTCCTATACTCTTGTCGTGTCCATGACACATGCCGACTGGGGAGCCCTGCCTCCTATACTCTTGTCGTGTCCATGACACATGCCGACTGTGGAGCCCTGCCTCCTATACTCTTGTCGTGTCCATGACACATGCCCACTGGGGAGCCCTGCCTCCTATACTCTTGTCGTGTCCATGACACATGCCGACTGGGGAGCCCTGCCTCCTATACCCTTGTCGTGTCCATGACACATGCCGACTGGGGAGCCCTGCCTCCTATACTCTTGTCGTGTCCATGACACATGCCCACTGGGGAGCCCTGCCTCCTATACTCTTGTCGCGTCCGTGACACATGCCGACTGGGGAGCCCTGCCTCCTATACTCTTGTCGTGTCCATGACACATGCCGACTGGGGAGCCCTGCCTCCTATACCCTTGTCGTGTCCATGACACATGCCGACTGGGGAGCCCTGCCTCCTATACCCATGTCGTGTCCATGACACATGCCGACTGGGGAGCCCTGCCTCCTATACTCTTGTCGTGTCCATGACACATGCCGACTGGGGAGCCCTGCCTCCTATACTCTTGTCGTGTCCATGACACATGCCGACTGGGGAGCCCTGCCTCGTACAGGTCATCATGACAATATGTTTTTGTCGTCCGGGGTCACATCTAGTGAGATTGGCGATGAGTACATAGGAACACGATATCAAGATTGAAATATAAAAACAGGACAATAAAACTAACGTTTCGACGAAACGCCTTCTCTGGAAACTGCAAGACAATTTTTTTTTTAAAGATAGTATAGGTGACTATCAATGTTCCCTCTAGGGTTTGTTGGGTCGTGTGCAAAATCATACAGTTGTGTGCAAAGTTTAACAGCATCAATTTTTTGTGTGCAAAATTTTACAGCTTACATATACAAACTTACATGGAAATTTGCTGCGCGGTACTCAAAACTGCTTCTCGGAGTCTGTGAGATAGCTGGGCGGCCGCGCAGCTTAAAGGGAACATTGGTGACTATAGATTAAGAGGAAAAAGCTTCCATTCTAGCTGATTTACTTTTTAAGACTAATCCTTTTTTCATACTACTAGAGTTACACGTTTTTAGATATTCAGTTTTAGTGCTTTCTATTTGCAAAATCGGTAGTATCTTTTTTTAATCTCTTCGATTTATTTCACATCTAAACAGGACGTTTTACCCATTTATCTCATCTAGTACGATCTAGCACGTCAAGGTGTATACGATTGTGTGAAGCTACATGACGGCACATTCACTTTTCTGTGTGATGGAGGACTTTCTTTGCATTCACTGGTTCTATATGGTTGCGTTGGAGCAGTGCTTCTCAAACGTTTCCTGTGTGATGGCACGGACTGGCAGGTATAGGCTGTGTTGGAGCAAGGATTGGTGCTTAATTTAATGCATATCTTTTCTTTTTTTATAGATTATGAATGATTGGTTACTTATAAATGGGGGCTTGCGGGCCAGCGACAATCCACGGGCCACCACTTTGAGCAGCATAGCTCTGAATAAGGTCACAGAGCCCCAGGACATCACGACTTATTTTGGCAAAATTTGATGTTTAAAAAACACATTTCGAAATGATTTTTATAAGAATGAGCTCCTTTATGGGTTCGTTTCTAGCGACTGCTGTCTTCACCTCGACATTTCTTAGCAGGCGGAAAACGCTGAAGTCCGAGGAAGATGACCGATGCTTGCACTTGTACCGCCAACAGTGCAATCAGGTCTTGGACATCTCTGTGTGGGTTGCATTGGATGCCAGATCTCACACTGTCGACCTCACGGCTGTTATTGTTGTGAGACATGGAAGAGGTAGATGGTCAGGGGTCATCATCAGTCTCCACACCTGGGTGTTCAAGTTTACGACATTTAATTAATGAACGAATTTTCAAAACGTATGTACTTGACTTCTGTTATAATATGAATGTCACTGACTAAAATAGAACTGTTAGCTGAATGATGAGATGAGTTGTGGCTCGACAGAACGGTGGGTGTGGCTCTGAGAGGTGTTGCTATCTGAGACATGTTGCTATGATAGAGAATTGTTGAGCAACTAATCAAACAGAAAAATCAACATAAACAACATATGTAATAAAAAAAAAAAATGACCAAGTCTTTCATACTTAGTTATTTATTTGTTATTAAAAGCAAATTTCTAAAAGAAGTGCACATTGCACATTTCATCAATGAATGCACAATTCAACAATAAAGCAGTAAATATTGTACCAGTAGTAGTAAAAAAAAAATGACATAGCAAGTAACTGCTGTAACTCATGGTGCCCCCCCTTTCTCAATGAATGTGCACTTGCACTCTACAGAGTATTATTGTAAATATTGTAACAGTAGTAGTAAAAAAAAAATGACATAGCAAGTAACTGCTGTAACTCATGGTGCCCCCCCTTTCTCAATGAATGTGCACTTGCACTCTACAGAGTATTATACTTGGTCATTCCCCCCCCCCACCCATGAATCCCCCACCTGCGCTACTGAGTGCTGGAGCTTGTGCATACCTTAAGTCTTAAGCCATCTAATTCTAATATGCAGAGGAGCTTGAACATTTTTTAAGCAACCGGTTTTCAACTTCGTTTTAACAACTGATGTCTCTGTTAACAACAGTCCATCTCCCAACTGTCCCCTCCCTAAAACAGATAGGAATGTACACTGACAACTAAAGCAAAGTTACCACAGCTGTCCTCATGTACCCATAAAATGATTTTTAAAAAAAAATAATCAACAGCGGGGATCACATGTTCTTAGCTAATGTGGATTGGGTTGGCCCAATCTGACAATGGACAACAAAGACATCCTTACACAGGAGAAGAGGCTCACAAAGTGGCAGCGAGAACAATATTCTGCGGTGGACAATTTACATAGAAGAATAAAATATTATTATTTATTATTCATCGTGTTAAATTTGTATTTTATTTTATCTTAATCCATACAGTACATGACATCAGCCTTTGGTAACCACTTACATTATAAATGTATTTTGGCATTTTTTTTGTATGACTATTACGCTATTACAAAATTTTTAAATGCTTTTTCTATGAACATTTAATTTATTTTGGGACATCATCATCAGCACATTTTTAAATTTGTGACCAATATGCTGATTCACAAAAATTAAATTTGTGACCAATATGCTGATTCACAAAAATTAAATTTGTGACCAATTTGCTGATTCACAAAAATTAAATTAGTGACCAATATGCGGATTCACAAAAATTAAACTTGTGATCAATATGCTGATTCACAAAAATTAAATTTAAAGGTTATTCTAAATAAGATCATTTGTGAAGTGACATCTCCATTGCCAATTGAATTAGTTTCTTTGCTACACCGTTTCTTGATCACAGCTTGTAGACGAGGAATGAAAGAACTTGTGCTTGATGATGTAATGTACACACTGCAGGACTTTGTTACGTTCTCTTCTAATTTCTGGTGCTAAGAGCTGAAAACAATTTGATAAAAGAAATAATATTTAATACTATCTATAACGTTTAGCTCTCCATGTTAAAATATTTGTAAGTGGACAAAAAATATCATTAATTAATCAAAGCCCGTTGGAAAGATTACCGTATAAAAATTCTTAAACTGAAATCTGCAATAGAGTAATAAAGACTGGAAGGAACATAGAGTCCAATCATTGATACCAGTAATCACCTGAACAAGTGCTTTCCAAACAGTGTTGCAACATACAAGTGAAACTGACTGTGTCATGAATGTCTAAAAAGTTTGTCGCAAAATAGAAAGTTTGGAAAGCACGGACTTTAACAAGGGGAACCAGCATTACGCAAAAATATGAGATGCACCGTGGGCTTGTGTGCACCCCATTCATTTCACAAAATGTTTGTTTTTATGATCCCATGGCCTGTCAGAGCCAGCTATTAAATGTATAGGTATTCCCATATAAAAGCAACTCTCTTTATATACCATTAACTGTAAACAGAAGATGAAATTTAGAAGAAAGAAAAACATCTTGACTCTACCTTCTCAAGCAGTGTGTACTCGTGTGGAGCTCCTCTTCTCATCCGTTTATAAGAGGGCCCTCTATCATTGGGCCCCTTATCATTGCGCTCAACATGAAAACGTTTCTGTGTGATGTCAGCGGCAGCCTTTCCTTGGCCCGGATCAGTCTTCTCTGTCAATATGTTTTCACATCGGTCGGATGTGATGACTTGGCCATCTGACAAGCCGGTATTGCAAGTTGTGGTTGTAATGTTAGGACCTTCGTCTTCTAAAGAATCTGGGGACTGGTTTTCAAAAGAATCAATTTTATTTTTCCCTGTAGAATTCGAGCTACCATTCACTATGATTGAAGAAGCCGACAGTGTGGGGGTGCCTGTTGTCTGCGCTGCTTGGGTAAAAGGATTTGGTAGCAGGTTGGCTCTCTGAACCCGAACAGCCGAGGATGTTTCTGATTGAACCTCAAGGGTTTTCACACCTGAAACAAAGTGTAAAATAATTTAAAAACTGGTGTGAACTGTCTGGGGAATCAACCATTCATCACATACTTATTTTAACGAATTTGTGCAACAACTATAATAGGCAAAGCTTCCACTTTTTTTGGAAAATGTAGTGAGATTAAACATTGGCATAATTTTTCAAGCTATCATCAAATGGAAAAGTTCAATAAAAATCTATGTCAATAAATGCGAAAAACATAGAAGAAAACCCAGACATTACAAGCGTTAAAACCCAGACATTACCCATGTCAAAACCTAGAAATTACCCATGTTAAAAACCCATACATTACCCATGTCAAAACCCATACATTACCCATATTAAAAACCTATAAATTTCCCATGTTAATAACCCAGACATTACCTATGCTGCTGAAATCTTCAATTTCCTCAGATTCAGAACTTGAGTCTCCGTATGATGCAAGCAATGCAAGACCTTTTGTTTTAGACTCCAAGTCAGTGTCTTTGTGTGCTGATGTCTCTTGGTTGGGTTGTCCCCCTTCATCAGGGCTGCCCTCTGATATTGTATAAATGATGCAAATGAAAAATATAATGTCCATAAAGTTAATTGTACAAATTAATTTACTTGGGTTGTAAGTTATTTCCATAAACTGTAACCTATAATTTATAAGCTAGCTGTAAGGGAAATAAATTTGTTGGCACTTCTGCAAGCATTAGGGGTGTGTGTGTCAAAGTAACCGTTGTGTGTGTCAAAGTAACCATTGTGTGTGTCAAAGTAACCGCTGTGTGTGTCAAAGTAACCATTGTGTATGTCAAAGTAACCGCTGTGTATGTCAAAGTAACCGTTGTGTGTGTCAAAGTAACTGTTGCATGTGTCAAAGTAACCATTGTGTGTGTCAAAGTAACCGTTGTGTGTGTGTCAAAGTAACCGTTATGTTAACACCAAACACCTGCAAAATTCTCTGCATAATGCCTTTCTTCGGGGAGGCTTGGTGTCATTCAGGGTAAATTGTTTAGGGTTTTCCTCACAGAATGACATTATAAACTATGATGTAAGAGATGTGTCATTTTTAAACAGTTCGAATTTCAGGGGGTGCCAGAGATTCAAATTACAGAGGAGACATTAGATTTAAAGTTAAGACACAAAGTGGGGTCAGACATTAAACCACTGGTTCCCACCATTTATTTACCTAGAGTTTCAGACGATTTCCTTATTTGAATTTCTTCAGGTGCATCGTCGTCACTGCCAGATCTGTGTTCGTGGACAGGAAAGTCCTTGTTAGCGTACTCCTGATTCCTCCACCTCCCCCTTCTGCCACCGCGCCCCCTGCCTCGTCTGTCTCTGCCTCTTTGTCTGCCATCTTTCATTTTACTAAGAAAACACAAAAATTTCATGATACAAATATATCTCCTTCAAATAATAATAATAATAGTTCATTTCAAAAACACGCTTCATCCCCAAAGGCTCGAAGCGCGGTACAAAGTCAACAAAAAACAAATCTATAATTTACCACATTTAAAACAAACGCAACACTACAAAAACTAATTACAAGCATACAATAGCTGATTTTCAAAAGGTGGATATCGAGGGAATTGATCCAAGAAGCTACCCCCCAAAAATAATGTTATTTCCAGAATTGGAATTGATTCTTATTAAGACCAACTTACTAATTTTTCCTTTTTTGCTTTACCCAAAAGCAGAAATCTTGATTAATTTAGAACCAACTATTGTACACTCTATGAAATGTTACAAATGGTTAGGAATAGCCAGGAATTTAAAAAATCAAGATGATTTTTATTTTTCCCCCATTCATCCTTGTGTTGTTTCTGTAGGGCTCAATCTCCAGTCCAGACTTCAGTTTATTTCCTGGAAAAAGCATGCGGCAGAAGTGTCCACAAGAGGCAAGCCCGAGGAACGAGGGACACGACAACAAAGATGACAAATCGCGGTGATGGTTGGGATGACGCCATTGTCATTTTACATTTTTTTCTAATACTCAGTCCACAGATTTAATTTCATCCCCAGTTTCAACAATATCAAAGGGGAAAATATTAGCATGTTAATTTTGGGGCATAAGTTACAACTATTTAATACAATTAATATTTGAAAAAAAAAACATATTTGAATACCGGTACTTGTCCACAAAGTAAAGAAATGCACACAGAGTGACCATCAAAGAATGAACAGAGCAAAAACCAGTACAATCTGCGTTTCAATGTTCATACCTGAAATCTTTGGTTGGAATGCTTTCCCCCAACCTATCTTTGCAACAGCCAATCTGTGTTTTAATGCTCTTAACTGAAATCTTTGGTTTGAATGCTTTCCCCCAACCTATCTTTGCAACAGCCAATCTGTGTTTTAATGCTCTTAACTGAAATCTTTGGTTTGAATGCTTTCCCCCAACCCATCTTTGAAGCCGCAAATTCTTGTTTCAATGTTTTAGGTAGGATATATGTATATATATATATATATTATGTAAATTTAATTTATACTTATTTGAATGTTTTATTGTACTGATCAAGGCATGCACTGAAATGTCTACTTACGTATTATGTATAATTATTATTAAAGCTTAACATATATTGTTATATTGACACAAATTGTTTGTGTCTAATTAATCTGAAATGTTTGGTTGGAATGCATTCCCCCAACCTATCTTTGCAGCAGCCAATTCTTGTTTCAATGCTCATACCTGAAATCTTTGGTTTGAATGCATTCCCCTCTAGCTATCTTTGCAGCCAATTCTTGTTTCTTCTTTTCAACATTTTCTAATGTAGGAAAACATCTGAAATTAAAAAATCACAGCTCTTTAAAAAAAATGCACAGCCGTATTCAAACAATCCTTGAAAAATTATTTAATTTACCTTTCGTTTCTACAACAGATTAGTTCATTAGTTAACAAAGATACAAAGTTAGGCATTCTTTAAAATGTGTTAACATTTATTCAGTCCAGGACATGAAAGACAGCTACCTTTTCCTCTCCTCTCTCCATTTGTTTACATCTTCTTCAGACTCCAAGCTCCAGACTTTCTTTGCCAGGCCTGTTTTATGTTGCTAGAAAAAAAAATTATCATGCAATGAAATTCATTTTAAACTTTAAACATTTATATTTAGAAGGAAATAGTGTTTCCCAATGTGATCCCTGACATAAGCGTAAGCTTAATCTTAAAAATGTAAGTAACTAAATAACCACGTTTGTTGTCTGCATTAAAATAGAATGAATACTTGCCATTGACATGTGAAGTTGGACAAGCTTTGGTGCAGCGATAAAGGGACAGTCTTTGTAAGAGCACTGTGAAAAGACAAGGTACATGTTTCACAGGTGTCATTAAAAATTATTATTCTTTATCTTTTTTTCCGGCCATATATATTTTTATATCTCTTTGCGTTCCACATATTGTTTTTACCAGGTTGCATAAAAAAAATTGACTGAGAGCAAAAAATTAGTGTCAAATTTTAACCAAAAAATCGGCCTCAAAAAAAAAATTAAGTGGATGGTCAATCCATATAATTTGCTTATTCTTTAGAATTGTTTCAGGTAATAAAAAAAAAAAAATTGTTGCTAAAATACTTTTTTAGACAAGGATTATGTCCTACCAAATGATGTAGTAACAGAAAAGACATATTTTATTGATTCACAAGACTTACATACTTTTATATCAACAAAATTTAGCTGTTTCGACTGAGGCAATTTTATTGTTATATTATGAAATTGAATGAATATGAAACTTCAACTTGTTGATTAGGTATGACATGACAACATCAGAATTATTTATAGGCAAACAGATATTTTAGAAAAAAAAAAAACAAAAAAAAAACAATTATAATTGAATTTTGCTAGTGCTTAGGCTTAAAAAGATTTAAAAAAAAAATTATAAAAAAAAAAAAAAAAAAAAAAAAAAACAATTATAATTGAATTTTGCTAGTGCTTAGGCTTAAAAAGATTTAAAAAATAATTTATAAACTTGCTATTCAGCCTTTGATAGTCATCTACTTTTTTTTCGGGGGGGGGGAGTGGGCATTATTGGTGAATCATGCCCAAGGGGAGGGTTGTCAGAAAATGTAAAGAAGACACTGGGTTTGGAGGAAAGTAAGTATAAAAAATTAATTTTTTGGCACTCATAATAAGCAGTGCTTTGAGTATGGAAGCACTAGATCAGATTCTATGCCAGCCTTAGCAGTCAAAATATAATCAATGGATGATGAGTTTTAACATATTTTTGAAATTATGTTTAAAAGTTATAAAGATGTATTATTAAGTCATGTATTTACTTTGGCCACCTGTATGTTGTTTGTAAAACATGAATCCATGATTTACCTTTATATGACCATCCGTGTGTTGTTTGTATAACTCCTCATTCTTAAAACCACGATCGCAGATGTCACAAAAAAAGACATTGTTCTCAGGCAGAAGTCTTTTATCCACCGTTTCTTTTTTCTAGTGTAACAAAAAGATAATGCAACAGTGCAAGTTATGTTTAAAATTACAATATATAATACAATTACATATTCAAATTTCAAACACCACAATGAAAAATATTTAAATAATATAACCTTCTGGTTAAAAAAATCATTGAAAACTTAAATTAAAATTTTAGTTTTTAAATTCCTTTATATTATATTAACTTTGCTTTTGTACCTGGCTGGCTGGTAAAATCTTTGGATGGCTAATTGACCCACTTCCATTCAACCTATCAAGCTGAAACTTAGCACATAGAAGCATTGCCAACTCATTCTGTCAAATTTTCAAACCTACCCCCCAAAAATCAGTTTTTTTTGTTTATAATGTGAATGGAAAAACTTTCTTTTTAGGTGTTGTTTAATTTATGACTGCATTAAAATCATTTTAATTTGGCTTTGTTTATTTATTCCCTTGTTAATATTTTACAAATTCAAGCATGATGACAGTTACTATTAAGATGCAGAAATAGAATTTTTAGAAATGACTTCATATATTATATTGTTAAATACAAAAAGGAGTAGGCCTTTCTCTTATTCATCAAGCCCCACTGTACCGACAATTTCACAACTTGCCCAACGTCCTGCTTCTTCACTCTCTGATCACAAAAAGGTAAAGATGACCCAAAAATTTTCCCTATGAACTATACATAGGGGGCCGAAATTCCAGGAGCTCTTCTGACCAGACGTGCCAGGACAATAATGTCTCCAGAGTTCTTAACAGGTTTAGGATAGATACAGTTAGAATTTTAAATCTACCCCATCCTAACCTGGGAGACAGATTATGAAGAACTTAATTATTCAAAAGTGAATCGGCTAAGAAATATTGCCCTTAAAGTTTAAACCATAAAATAATAAAAAGATTTAAATGTACCTTTTTGAAACCTTGGTTTCTACCACCACCCTGGCCACCTCGAGGTGGAAATCCACCCCTGAAGCTGGTCGGATTTGGTCCTCTCCAAGGAGTATGACCTTGCCCTTGGAAATGTGTGGTACTTCCATTAGAATTAGAAAAGTTTTCTTGGGGAGTCACATTCATTTGTTGAGCTCCACTAAATTTTTCATCAGGAGCCTTAGTCTGTCCAGGGACAATGTGTGGGGGATACATAAACCTGTTTATATCATAGTTAAACCGATTGCAAAATGGCTGCCTTGGAGGGCACTGATTCAACTGATTGTATCTTGGTTGATAATTTGGCCTATTTTGATTAGGGGGCATCCTTGGAAATCCAAAAGGATGACGGTAGTTATTATTTGTTGGAAAATGTGGAGGAGGAAACGGTCCTGCACCTCCTGTGTTGCCATTATAGAATTGTGTGTTGGAGATATTTGGTGGTGGCTTGGACATGTTAGGCAGATTTGGTGGTGGGCTAGACAAATCTGGTAGACCTCGTGGAATCGACATTCTAGAATCACCTGGTTTCATCAATACCTGTATGAAAAAAAAAAGAAAGCAAAATAAAATAAAATAAATTAAAATAACAGGAGAGAACTAGTTTGTAACTCAGAATAATTGTGTGCAGAGGCCTCTCTCTAGGAAATGGTTACTAGCAAGATGGTGATCTACATTCTAGAGGACATTTTTTTTTTACTAGGCCCACCTACTGTCTAAAAATATGATAAAGGCAGGGGGTGGGATGACGACACATGATCGAAGTTAGAATTCATTTGAGAATAATTTAGATAAGTTATGATTAGTGCAGGCTAAATATAATTAGGGTAAATTTTGACTACGATTGCCACTATTTTCTCAATGGCCGCCATCTTGGTTAACACGTCACGCGAAGTCATCTATCCCTATGCCTATGCCTAACCTGAACCCTAAATAGATCCTTATGCCTAACCTGAAACCCTAAATCGATCCCTATGCCTAACCTGAACCCTAAAACTAAATCAATCCCTAAAATAATTTAGTAAAAATAAACAAAGGGAAGTCACTCCCTGGAAAATAAGTCGTGGCAATCATAACTAGGACAACTAGGATTAGCCAAAATTAGGCTTATAACATACTAACACTTTTAGTACTAACAGTACTATTATTTTTCAGTTAGTATGAGTTAAATATTATTAGAGACAACTTCAGAGTAGCCTCGCCGACAATTCATAATCCGTGTGACTGTAGTACTAGGTCGACTAGGCCTAGGCTCGTTAGTTCTACCAGTCCACCTTGAGCTAGACTTACTTTTACTTTTAACTTAAACTTTTTTAAGTATGATTTTAAAATTTATTTAGCCTATTTAGTGGTCAAATTAATAATTATTGTGCGTGCAAATTTCACGAAAATTTAAGTCACATCTAAGCGTTATGTTGAAAGTATGAATAAAAGATTCAAATAAAAATACCCATAACTCACTACTATAGTGTATTGTACATAGTGTAGATCAGATGGTCCCAAAACGCACGTGTAATATAAACTGGGCGAGTTTACAAAACAAAGAAGTATTTCCGGTTCATTTACGGTGTAAATCTAAATTGATCAACCATTAACATTTAATTTTTTGAAAAAATTGGAAAAGCAACAAAAATTTAAAAAGTCTAAAAAAAAAAAAAAAAAAAAAAAAAAAACACACAACTAACATTTATTGCGTAATTGAAACTGAAAACAATAATTCTTAGCAATCTAAGCACTTCAGACAAAATTAACAACACAAAGGTCAAGATCAATAATGAAAGTTTGTATGTCGTTTTGTATAAAGATGAAGAAATGAAATTTCGTAGAGTCGTAGCCGTAGACGCTTTATGTAATTTAAAATCAAATGGATAGAAAACTGCTGTTATCATTGTGATACGTGTGGAAAATCGAGTAATAGCTTTTGTTTTTATTATGTGCTAAAATGCTGATTAAACAGTCTCTTAATACCCATTTTAGTAGGCTATCATTTTTTTTTTTTTTTTCGTTTGCTTGATCCAGGTATTTCTATCTAGCGCGTGGGGGGTGGATATCCTCCCCCGAATAGGCTTTAAATGTCTTCAAATAACAACATTAATATGGAAAATAAACAAATAAAAATGCTCCGCACAAAAAAAAAAAATTGACTTCGCTGAGTATTGAACTCTATTCCAAAAATATTGACGAGTTTCCTAGGACCCAACTCGATCTCGAAATACCTTGGCTACCATCATCTGGCTGAAAATCACTCCAGGGCTATGTTTTTTTTGTGAGGAAAACATTTAAAATTTACATTAATATTGTTTCTCAGATTCGAACTCGAGCCAAATTGAATGAATTTAATCATTGTAGTATTAATATGACACGTGCGTGTCGGTTAGTTTTGAATTTCCGATTCTAAAAGTACAGGAAAAGTGGAGTAGTTTTTTTTTTTCTTGAAATAAAATAGCTCGACATTTCTCAGTGAAATATCGCCGAACTTGGCAGCTAAAATCATAAATGGTTAATCTTTCATTGGTTACCAAAAATATTATTTGTGTTTGATAGCTGACACATAATTAGCCAATCGGGACTGTGAACTATTATAAATACTATTATAACCGGGAGAAAGTAAGCATAATAATTGATGGACTGCATTCAAGTTGTGTAAAAGAAATATAAGCAAGTAAGCAGTCGCCAATGAAGAATAAAGCTTTTTTCAATTTCATATTCTCCAAATTCGAAAACAGGGGCTTAGAGACATGACTTATTAGATACTGAAGTAGAAATGGAGGAAGGACCACATTGCAGCTAGTATAAAGGAAATCGTTCCTTAACTGAAAACTGCCCTTACGATGGGGAGTGTGTTGAGTCTGATTGATGTGAGGGCAAGTGTTGCAACGGCTGCGTCCCCATGACTTGTTACCAAAGTGGGAGGGGGGCAGCGTTGATGCGACTTCGCACAAGGAGGTCTCGCAGATTTTTTTATCACGTCTGAGATCATTGAAAGGTGGGGAAGTGAAAATGTTGTGGGTGACAGGGTAGGCGAGGATAATAGCGAGGCTTTTTAAGGAAAACACGATTGGATTTAAAATGGAATGAGGGTATGTGAGAATACGATTCTTCCTGTCACCATTGGAACTCGGACGAGACCTGGAGGCATCAGCACGGGTAATCATTTGTTACCTTTGAAGGGCTGATGAAAGTACGGTCTCCTGGTAGAACCTACATTGGAAAAAGTCGATCATCTCAAGTGCCTTGTCCCAAAAGCCATCCTCCCACTGGCAAAGTTGACGAAGACGAAGCATTTGAGAAAAAGGAATAGCGTCTTTACGGGATTTAGAGTGGGAAGAAGAGTAGAATAAATAGCTGTGCCTGTCAGAAGGTTTAAATCAGGCGGAGGTGAAAATGTGGTCTCAGACACAAGAAAGTTGAATTTAATGGAGGGCTGAAAAGAGCCAACAAAGTTAATGAATATATTACCACCATCAATGTACCTTTTGTAGACTTCAGGGTGGCGTCCAGTGTAGTTTCTTTCGACTATGTTTTCGATATGTCCCATGGACAACCATGCGTAGCTGGGTCCCATTTTAACCCCCTTAGCAGCAGCACCAAGTCATCGAGAATTGGCCGCTAAACTAAAAAAAATTGAGGGTTAAGACAAGTTCAGCCAATCGAAAGAGTTGTTGATAGATATAGAAGGATAGTTTTCACTCTTAAGAACGATTTTTAAGCCTAAGAGATCGTCAGTACGGGGAATAGAATTATATTATAGAAATTGACGATGTTTCTTTTCAGGAGAGATGATGATGGATTTAAAAGTTTTTAAAGCATGGTTGGTTTCTTTGAAATAAGTGGGCTGTGAGGCTACGACGGGTTGAAAAAAACTCCATCAAAGGAATTCCGAGATGTGTTCGGTGGGGCAAGAGCATGCTGATGCAATGGGTCTGTCGGGGGTCACCGTACGTGTCTGTGGTAGGAAGTTGGTAGAAATTGGACTTAAACCGAGGTCACTATCAAAGATGTGTGAAGCAGAGCAGATTCTGCGATCATTTTTGTTTTAGTCTCATTTACCGTGTCGATATTTGTAGTAATAGGGTTGTTGATCCCCGGTCGGTAGAACTGGTTGTCTCCAAGCTGCCTCAGTGCCTCTTTAATGGATAGATTTTTGTCCCACGCTTACACAGCGACGGCTCCCTATTTGTCACCTGGTTTGATGCTAATATCTTTCTGACCACGTAGGGTAGAGAATGACGTCACTTCTCTTTTCCAAAGACTCGAGTTGCAGAGTGGAGGTAGAGGGAGGCTCTTTATCAGGGGCGTCATTTCAGGTTTTTTTCAAGAAGTGTGTGTGTGGGGGGGGGGGGCTTAAAAACCAAAACTTGATCAGCTTGCTAAGTTGTTTTTAATTGGAAGCGATACAGTACAGAGCAATTTAAATAATTACTGCTAATTCGTGTTGAGGGGGGGGGGGGCAAATACCACACCCTGCCCTACGCAAATGACGTCACTTTTCTTGACTTCACGTTCCGTGCTACTGATCTACAGGTCTAAAGCCTCGGATTGGATAGATGGCGGTGTCCAATCAGATTTGCGTTCTCTTTGGACGAGAGCAGCTCATCACCAGGGAGGTTGGTATTTTGCCAAGCAAAGTAAAACTTAAGTCTCAATCAACGAAAGAAGTGATGGAAATCCAAAATTAATTGGTAGCGATAACAGGATGGTTTGAGGGGAATAAATTTAAGACCTCTCGTCAAAAGAGAGTGGGAGGTCGGGGGTGGGGGTGACCCTTATTACTCGATTACTGCCCCTTCAAAAAAATCATGAACGATTTATCACCCGTAAATCT